GATGTGTCTGTGTGTGGTGTATGTGTACGCGATGTGTCTGTGTGTGGTGTATGTGTACGCGATGTGTCTGTGTGTGGTGTATGTGTACGGGGTATGTCTGTGTGTGGTGTATGTGTACGCGATGTGTCTGTGTGTGGTGTGTGTGTACGCGATGTGTCTGTGCGTGGTGTATGTGTACGCGATGTGTCTGTGTGTGCGTGTGTGTGTGTACGGGATGTGTCTGTGTGTGGTGTGTGTGTGTGGTTGAGACGTATATGTATGTGGTAAGTGTATATGTTAGGGGAGAGGTATGAGGTGTTTGGGGGTGGGGGGATTTGAGGTTCTCTCGCGTAGTTTATGATGACTGAAGCGCAATCGTTCATGAAAATTGACACATTTTCTCAAGGGAGGTCCCAGCTTTACAGTAATAAATTGATTGAGAATCTGTGCGTCAGAATACATGATGAGGGGCGTACGGGAGGGTTGTCAATTACAATTCCTGTATTTTGTAGAGGGACATAATAAAGACATTGTTTTAGTGGTAAATGTTTAGAATTCATAATTACTATTTGTTCAGGTATAAATTTATAAATTGCCACATTGCTACCATCTCCATGTGGTGGTGTTCACACTCTATCAGAGTGATGTATATATGTTTTCATACATTATTGGCCTCAAACCATTCTTCTAGGCAAGTGAGTTTATTCAAGATTGCATCTGTTCACCATGCAGAAAATGGGTACCCGGTGAGATAAATCATGTGCCATTAACCTTCTAGCGCATTACAGGCAGCTGGGTTACCCAGGGTAAAAATAATCATATTCTGATTCAGCGTCCAGTCAGCAACTAGTCAGATGGATACTAGGCGCTATATAAATGAATTATCATTGTTATTATTATTATTATTATTATTTAACATGCATGAAGGAAAATCAAAGCGCGATTGAATTGTGTAATAAACTAAAAGTCAACCTATCCTACATGTAATTTGTATCCTAATGAAATCCACAGCTCAAAATATATTTCTACATGTCCTTTATCTGTTGTATGAATACATTGCACCGTTCTCGCTGTGGGCCTGCATCCCGGAGCCTCCCGGAGTTTATGTCGACAGGTGTTCGCTATATCAATACATATCACTCTATTTGAGAATAAAAGGTGCGATTGATCCCGTTACTGACACAAGAACAACTTAGTTGCGTTATCGCTAGTCTGTCTCCCAGACGCTGGAGTGTATAGGGACTGTGATGATGTAGCCTAGTGGTTAAAGCGCTCGCTCGTCACGCCGAACGCCCGGGTTCGATTCCCCACATGGGTACAATGTGTGAAGCCTATGTCTGGTGCCCCCTGCCGTGATATTGCTGGAATATTGCTTAAAGCAGCGTAATAATTACCTTACCTTAACTAACTAGAGACTTAATTAAAGAAGGAGGCGAACTCAAGTCTAGAATGATTTACCAAGCCTCGATTTCTTCAGCTTTGCAAACAAAAAAACCCCCCAACTTCTGGGCTCCTTTTGGATATTATTGTTAACATTTTTATCGATAGATATTTTAGAAAAATAACTTTATTGACTCAATGGCAGTCTAGGTCGTTCCGCGCGTGGGTCGGTGGAACAGCTGGTTCCGATACCGGTCACTGCGCATGTCAGTTGCGTTGTTTAAACAGTAGATATGTACATGATTGGAAATGTCAAGGGCGCTGTTGTTTATCTATAATACAAAAAAATTCGTCAGATCAGCAATTTATTCTGCATAGCTTATACAGGCTGTATACTTATCTGTTTTACGATTGATTGCATAAAACACGCTATACCCATGCTGCTAAAGAAACGCACACGCGCGCACGCACATTTTCTCTAAAAGTATACCTTGTCTGGAACGTTTCAGCAGACTATCTAATGTCTGAAACGAATGATCACATTCTAGACTTATCACTGGCAGGAACGTTTAAGTTTCTTACTGACCGAAGCGTAAGACTGACTGAGTATGGTTTTACGCCGTTTTTAAGCAATATTCCAGCAATATCACGGCGGGGGACGCCAGAAATGGACTTCACACATTGTACCCATGTGGGGAATCGAACCCGGGCCTTCGGCGTGACGAGCCAACGCTTTAACTACTAGGCTACCCCACAGCCCACCGAAGCGTAAGATGTCTCAGTGCATCTTAATAAATTAAGGGTCGAATTTCTTGATATCAAGGGAATAGAAGTTCTCCATGCTTAACATATTGTTGCAGGCAGACATATCAAACTAGCAGTGACTGCACGTGTATATGAGGCCGGATTGACGACCGACCATGACACCAGAGTTCCCAATCGGCACGAACACATATTTACTGTTAAGGAGTTGTAGAAACGTCATTACTGGCACTTTGGGCGGTGTTCGTTAAAGTGCAAAAAATCAAATGTTTACAAAACACACATACATGCAACAGGCTGTTATATTGGCAACTTTCCACCAAAAATGCAATGCAATGTTTTCCGTTATATTTATACTGAACCGAACTGAAAGGTAAAATCGTTTTTTCACTATTTGTATAATGGTTAAAGCGTCCACTCGTCACGCTGGTTCGAGTCAACAATTGGAAACAATGTGTGAAGCCCATTTCTGGTGTTTCCCGCCATGCTATTGCTGGAATACTGCTAAAAGCGGCGTAAAACCTCACTCACTCACTCACTCACTCACTGGTACTAGAATGTTACCTGTACTACACATTGTCTACATGATTCGTCTACTTGTGGTGATTACATACTAATTAGGAACTAAAACACCTTTCCGAAACACACAACCCGGGCCCTACTGAAGGGCAAATAATATGCAAAAATGGATTCTTAATGTTTATGCGGTCACACCCAGACAGGTAAATGCAAACCTGCAAAACTGCCCATCCCTCCCTCCCAAATGCGGCCCCCATTTTCATATTTGTACGCGTACTGAGACGGAACTCAAGCACGGATACAACTTTTGAAAGATTGTGTACTTCAGATACAACCCTCAACATAAACTTTAACTCTAACTAAGCAGAAAGCGAGATTGTCACATTTAGCCTAAATACCCCCAACAATATAATTTGATTTCTTTCGCCATTTCGACAAATAGTTACAAAAATCAATTTATGCTTACAAAGTGTTTTAGTACGGATATAAATGGAAAACAATTGCATTTGTAAATCCAGATTTGCTGGGAACTTGCTCTTTTGGTGAAAACTTGTGAAACTAAGAGTCTTATATATGTTTTGTAAACATTTGGTTTTATTGCACTTTAACGAACATGTTATTTAGGCCGGGCGTAATGTTCTAGGTTGACGTCGAACCAATGAGACATACTGTCACGATATTGACTGAGATTTCAAATGTCAGTCGGAGTGATCGCGTTACTTAATGTTGATATGATTTGCCATTCATCACCGACAGCGGTCTACGATTCTCGCTTAGTTTGTAATTCGATCCGAACATGTTTATCGGTTTTGGAAAGTTCTTACATACATATTTCATGGAATGTAAAAATCGCCCACGCACGTCCAAAACTGTACATCAAGGCCTTTTGCAAACCTTCCGTTGGAATGCATTTCATTCCTGACATATTGAAGACATGATAGATGACACATGTCATGTATATTTCACATGTTGTAGCAGGTGAAATACACCACACACTCTATCATGATCTCGTTTCCGTATCTGCCAAGTCCAGAGAGAGAGAGAGAGAGAGAGAGAGAGAGAGAGAGAGAGAGAGAGAGAGAGAGAGAGAGAGAGAGAGAGAGAGAGAGAGAGAGAGAGAGAGAGAGAGAGAGAGAGAGAGAGAGAGAGAGAGAGAGAAACACACACTACAGCACGTGCATGTGTACGACAGTTTCACCGTAGTGTCATATGATATACGATACACTCTACTTGAGTAACGCTGCAAAGGACAACGCGCGCCAGTAAGTCATAATCTTTTCTGAAATATTTTTCGCCTTGTGATAGACGACACCTCAGTTGCCATGGTGATGACTTTCCGATAATTTTCCCCGAATCGATCGCTAGCTCGGACGTGACAATAATCAATACCAATTATGAGCCACGGGCAGATATAATTGTGCTGTCTTGGAAACAGACCCGGGAAATGTCAACCAAGCAGGCTGGCATTTATTTCATGAAATAGACACACGTCTTCTATTGTAGATTTCACTACCTGTTGCTCGAGACTGCGTGGTCCCCTTTACAGACCATGCAATAGACCGCCCATTCAATGTGGATTTCAGTTTAATGAATAAAATGCAACATATCACGTCATGGGAATTAAATGTACTTTAAAGATATGGAGAAATGTTGTCAACACGTGACCTTCGGCACTGTAGTTCACCTGCTGTAAATTTTTGGATATGTTCAGGTAAATAATGTCAGGTGAAAACCTTACCTTACGTTTGTATATACATAAATAATGATGTTTAAAATGTGGTTGAATAAAATTTGATGTTGTCTGCGATTAAATATAATTAGGTGTTGCGTCAGTCTTTGACAGACTGATGATCTGCAAACCATCAGCTTCCTTACACCAAATTGATAAATTACCGAAACGTACATTTCTGACTTACCGGGATGTCATAAAGTTGTCTAAAGTCACTTTGACCATGGCTTCTAGCATGTAAAAACACGATAATTACCCTTTTGCCTAATGAAAACTGAACCTAAAAGACCTATTTTACTCCACTGCACCAATTTCATTAGCCAAACTAAATGATATTCCTGATCGAGTATACTATACCAAGTCCCAGACGGGAAAATTATATTCAGCGTAATCCCTCCCAAAGGATTTTGTATGACAGCGTATTATGAATTATTATTGAAGCTCTGGACAAGGATTAATTGAAAAATACTCGTTGTAAGGGCTGGTAAGGATGTAAGACTGGCCCTGATTGAGCACATGTTGTCAAGGTTTACTCGATGAACAGCTCCATCCTTTTGCCAATATCTCACATGTGATGCAGCTGTAATTGCGAGTGATTAACTTACTCTCATAAATATCCCTTTTCTTTCAGAGGGTGAGTCAAGCCGATGTTGTTATGACCGTGTGGCAAGATAACATTATTGCACCAGCGGGGTTCCATACAATCACGATGACCTACGGTGAATACTAATCGATAAAGGACAACAGTAAACATCTCCTGTTGACGTCTTCAACACCATACGTATACCATGTTTGCTAAGGTAAGTAAAAAAGTAGTCTCTGTTGACCTACATTTTTGCTTAGTCTTAAAGAAGGGGTGATTAATATGTTTACTATGACATCCAGGATTCAGTGCGCTTTATCTTTTTGTCTGACCGAGGTTTTTTTTCTCCATTAACTTTAGCTGTTACATGATCATATTCATTTCAAGCTGCACGGGTAATTATCACTATTGTCTTATTTTTTTATCCTATTCTTGCATCTTTGAGTATGAAATACAGTTTGACAGGCAAGATACATATGTTTATACGTCACAGTGAAGTGTACGGAACATTTATGTTAAGTGGAACCATGATATCCAGATTTTAAAAAATAGGAATCTCCTGATGGCACTGGGGAGAATCCCAACATACCAGTTTGTTTCGCCATTCTAACGATTCCTGAATCTTGAAAATAGTTAATCCGAACGTATCCCAGAATACGACGGTGTCGAGAATAACGGGATTTACCCGTATGCAAGTAATAGCTGGACAACAGTGAGTGAGTGAGTTAAAGTTTTGCGTCCTTGTCGACATATTTCAGGCATCTAGCGACGAGGTCAAGTTTGCTCACATACACAGACCACTGTTAGTTATGAACTGATTGTCCATGTTGACCTTTCGTATGATGTAAGCAGGGCAATGCAGTGTTAAGCAGGGTAAAGCAGTGTCAAGCAAGGTAAAGCAGAGTAAAGCAAGGTGAAGCAAAGAAATTGTTAAAAATTGTACCAATGTCGTGAGTACATGTGTCTGCGCATGTGTCATTATCGAAATCTAATCACATTCAGATATGCATGGCCTTAGTTTCTGCTAACTTCTTTGAGTGGCATTTTAGAAGCTGGGAAGTACAAAATTGACAATTTTTATGGATAACAACTTGTTTGTCAAGCAGGCTACCCCACCGCCCCAATATTGAACAAACTTTCTGGACAACAGGATTCCTGCATGACAACGGTACAAGAATCTGTATGGAAACGTCGCACCCTCGTCATAAAGATGTTGTTATACATAACGTTGATCAATTTCATAGTTTCTGCGGAGCTGAACCTTAATGTATAGTCCGTTTGGCTCAAAAGCGGACCGATGAATTGCAATCTAACTCTAAAACTAATAAACATAAAATACTCAATGAAACACTGATCATAATCAAAACCTCAGACGAACTCTGAGATGTTTTTGCAGAATTTATGTCCTAAAAATATAAAAGTTGTTTAACAAACTATCATTAAAATATCGACACAATTCACTATTTGTTACGAGGGACGAGTGCAGAGAAAGGGACAGCCAGGTGTGCGAGAAAGGATGGAGACGGCACAGCACAGGTTAATGAATCAATAACTTTGTCGGCACTTGTGCAAGTGTTTCTCTAACACCTGGCTGTCCCTTTCTCTGCACTCCTCCCTCGTAACAAATGGTGAACTGTGTCAAAATTTTAATGATAGTTTCTTACACAACTTTTTTAATTTTAGAACACAAATTCTGCAAGCAAATCACAGAGTTGGTCTGATATTTTGATTATGATCAGCGTTTCATTGAGTATTATATGTTTATTAGTTTTCGAGTTAGATTGCAATTCCTCGGTCCGCCTTTGAGCCAAACTGACTATAGTTCAGCTGAACCTTAATGTAGTTCAGCTCAGCGGAAATTATGGCCATGTTTATTTGACTGTGATTAGATTTCGATAACAAACACGTGCAGACATATACTCACGAGATTCGGTGTTTACAGAACACATTTGTTTCATTAACCCACCATGGATTTGATTTGGGCTATCAAATTATTTCACGATCTGACAGAACGGAGTGTTTGTTGACGCAAATTGCTGTTATTGAAGTTCGCGACAGGTAGATTCGGTAGATATACGCTGTTAAATGTCACACTGTGTTGAAATGTTTTTTCCCCGTTATGTTCGCATGACGTTAGCGTTGCCATGGAAGCACGGATGCGCACACGTCAGTTGCTATGCGAGATAATGTATCGAGGGCATCATCCGGACCGGCTGAGTGTATGTGCTGGACAGACAATGAAATCGTCCCGACCTTTACCAGTGTGTTTGAAATCTAGACCATACATCCTCTGACATTTGCAATTTGCTCTTTGACAGGTGCTTTTTATTCCCGATAGAAACATATTGTTAATCTGAATTGATGTTTAGATTATTTATCTTAAACATTTCAACGTTCATGTATCCCCATTGTATTTTCTTGAACGATAAATATTATATATATCTTCGCAAAGAGTTTCAAAAACATTTAACAGCTGGAAAAATTTGTTGACGAGATTTACCGTATGTCTTTTTAATCTGATTCCTAGGCTAGGTCTCATTTGGACACTATTATTATTATTATTATTATTGGATATTTATATAGCGCACATATCCACGCACTAGTGCATGCTCAAGGCGCTGGTATGTTTTCACTACAGGACGCCCCTCATCACTACAGGACATCCCTGATCAGAATAAGAGATCCACAATGTAATGTAATAAAACAAAGATGAAAATATATTCCGACGCCTCCAAGTCAGTTTATGCAATGATTTGTACTGTTTTTCATGACTTTATGATTTGTAGAAGGTAACAGTTTTAAAACATCAAAATCTGTCTCGTACTTTTGAATAATTTTAAACAGGACATTCTGAAACATGGCCCCCCTCAATCCAAGACTCGCTCTTTGATGACAACCGAGATGCTGTAATTGACGTCATTCATGACATTCTGAATGTTGCTGGCCAAGGACGGCAGATATAGGTCGATGTCTCGGTAACTGCACTTCCCAATAACGCCAGTCTGACATGGGGCGGTGGGGACCTCCAGATTTGGGCTTCACACGTGGGAATCGAACACGGGTCTTTTGCGTGATCAAACAGCAATTGACATCACTCGGCTACTAGTAGCTTATATAGTGCAAGGCAGTGTCAAACATGCAAATCTGCAAAAATCTTAACCGACCATTTTATGTCCAGGTGTGTTTTCAGTTAACACAGTTAAACAATCCGTTGTAAAACCTGCCCTTAAAATGTAATTAAAGAATTCATAATACCCGAGTCTACAGAAAATAGTGTATATATATATGAATAGGGTCAGGCTTGGACAGCCAGAAAATGGAGGCAGGTTTTGGGGCAGAATTCTTTCCCAACCCAACCCGTGAAGGTCCGGGTTAGAATGTACCTTCAGCAACCCATGCTTGTCGTAAGAGGCGACTAACGGGATCGGGTTGTCAGGCTCGCTGGCTTGGTTGACACACGTCATCGGTTCCCACTTGCGCAGATCTATGCTCATGCTGTTGATCACTGGATTTTCTGGTCCAGACTCGATTATTTACAGACCGCTGCCATATACCTGGGATATTGCTGAGTACTCACTCTTTCCCAACCATCCAGTGAGGAGAGTCAGTTATTTTTTCCAAAGAGAACTTCTAGTTTTAATTAAACCCTCCAAGGGACAATACTTCTTTTGAGGCACCACGGTTTTTTTCATTTCTTAACAATTTATGGACAGAATAAAATGTTTTATAAATTGATTTCATTTATAAATTGCGCTTTACGAATAAACTTCATCTGATCGGTTTTGCTTGCATTACAAAGTATTATCAAAGTGGATGAGTACTTCACGCTTGCAAGGAATTTGCACCTGTGTTTGAGAATGTGGGTTTCATACTGAACGTAGCGATATCCAAGACTCCAATGGTTGAGTTCGATTTTAAACCCAGGGTGATGTGTGTTGGCTGAGGTACTGACTGACTGAGTATGGTTTTACGCCGTTTTTAGCAATATTCCAGCAATATCAAGGCGGGGAACACCAGAAATGGGCTTCACAAATTGTACCCACGTAGGGAATCGAACCCGGGCCTTCGGCGTGACGAGCGAACGCTTTAACCACTAGGCTACCCCACCGCCCCTGTTGGCTGAGGTAATACCCAGGTTACCCTAGCTGGACAATGTTTGGATACACTAACTGATACACCTAATACACCTAGGTTACTGATTCCTTCCCTGAAATGTAATCTGGATGTTCTGTTCTACACCTGGGCATGGGAATCGTACATTAAGTATAGATTTTTCCAACCCGGAAACATTTACAGCCGGAATTAATTATCCTTTACACCGGCAGCGTCATTGGTGAAAGTGATACGTTTCTTCCATTGATTCAAGCATGAATAAAATAATTGCAATGAATATATTTCACTGGGTTTCCTGAAAGTTCAAGAAAAGCAAAATCGACGCCGCCATCTGAACCAGAAGTCGTTATTTTGTTCGTATTGATATATCTTCAGTCGTATATGGTATGAACTCCTAATAAGCTCATCGACCCGTGAAGATCAATTTTAGATTCGATCTTCAATAACCCATACTTGTCGTAAGCGGTAACTAACAGGATCGGGTTGTCCGATTCGCTATTTGGTTGGCACGTCATCATATCCCAATTGCGTAGGTAGAGTGACTGACTGAGTGAGTTTGGTTTTACGCCGCTTTTAGCAATATTCCAGCAACATCACGGCGGGGGGACACCAGAAATGGTCTTCACACATTGTACCCATGTGGGGATTCGAACCCGGGTCTTCGGCGTGACGAGCCAACGCTTTAACTACTAGGCTACCCCACCGCCCCATTGCGTAGATAGATGCTCCTAATGTCAATCAGTTGATTGTTCAAGACCCATTTTTTCGGTGCAGACCGCCGCCAAACAGTTGGAATATCGCTGAGTACGACGTTGAACAACCATAGAATACGGAGAGCACCGCTACCTGTAAATTGCTAAGTGAGGAAATCCTTATTGGAATGCGGCCTCTGACCTCATCATTCCTAAAGATGTTAAAACGTGGCACTTGATGTCACCCTGCCTGCATGACCAGTCTTAACCGATTACACCAGGACTGGTTAGGAGTCATTCTAAGATGCTTCGCTAAAAGATCAAAGACGCCCTCAGTACTTTATCAAGCGAAAACGTAACTTATTGCATTACGTCACACTGTACTGACGTCACGGCGCCATTCTAGTCTGCC